GCAACAATAAATGTTGGCGAGGAGGTGGGGGAAAAAGATACATTCATACATTGCTGGTGGAATTGAAAATTGGTGCAACCACTATGGAAAGCAGTATGGAGATTCCTCAGACAACTGGGAATTGAACCACCATTTGACCCAGCTATCCCACTTCTTGGTTTATAACCAAAGGACTTAAAATCAGCATACTACAGTAATGCAGCCATGTCAACATTTATAGCAGCTCAATTCACAATAGCTAGACTATGGAGCCAACTTAGGTGTACCTAAATAGATGAATGGATAAAGAACATGTGGTATACATACTCAATGGAATATTACTCAGCTTTAAAGAAGAGTTCAATTATGGCATTTGCCAGTAAATGGTTGGAGTTGGAGAACATCATGCTAAGTGAAATAAGACAATCCCACAAAAACCAAAGGCCGAATGTTTTCTCTAATGTGCAGATGCTAATTCACAAGGGAAGAATAATGTTACCTTAGATTAGGTAGAGTGAAGTGATGGGAAGGAAGGGGAGGGGATGTGGGGATAGGAAAGATAGTGGAATGAAACAGACATTATTACTTTATGTATATATGTGACTATATGACCAATATGATTCTGCAACATATACACAGAAAAATGAGAAACTATATCTTATCTATGAATGATATATCAAAGTGCATAAATGCATTCTATTGTCATGTATAACTAATTAAAACAAATTAAAAAATTTTAAAAAGGAAAAAAAAAGTTGGACCTTACATAATAAAAAATTTTGTTCTTCAAAAGGCATTGTTAATAAAAAGATAACACAGAGTGGGAGAAAGTATTTGCAAACCACATTTCCAACAGAATACTTGTATCTAAAATAACTTAAATAAGACAACAACTCAATTTTAAAATATGCAAAGCACTTGAAAGAATGTCACCAAAGAAGATGTAGATGGCAAATTAGCACCATAAATGATGCTCAAAAGAGTCAAATAGATATTCAAATAAAAACCATAATAAGATAGCATTTATACACCCAATAGAAGCTGGGCATAGTGGTGCACATCTGTAATCCCAGGAACTCTAGAGGCTGAGACAGGAGGATTGCAAGTTCAAGCTAGCCTCAACAAGTTGGCAAGGCCCTGTCTCAAAATATATAAAGGGTTGGGGATGTAGCACAGTGATAGAGCACCCTGAATTCTGTCCTCAATACTAGAAAGGAAGGAAGGAAGGAAGGAAGGAAGGAAGGAAGGAAGGAAGGAAGGAAGGAAGGAAGGAAGGAAGGAAACCAACCAACCCAAAAGAAAGGCAAAAGTTAAAAAGTCTAATGTACTGCATGTTAGTACAGATACCGAGCAAACAGGAACCCTAGACACTGATGGTAAAAATGCAAAATAGCTCAACCACTTTGGAAAATGGTTGGGCAATTTTTTTAAAATTTATTTTTTAGTTGTGGTTGGACACAATACATTTGTTTTATTTATTTATTTTTATGTGGTGCTGAGGATTAAACCCAGAGCCTCTCATGTGCTATGCAAGTGCTCTACCACTGAGCCACAACCCCAGCCCCAGTTGAGTAGTTTTTTAAAACTTTTTTTTAAAAAACATTTATTTTTTAGGTGTAGATGGACACAACACAATGCCTTTATTTTTATGTGGTGCTGAGGATCGAACCCGGGTCCCGCCTGTGCTAGGCGAGTGATCTACCGCTGAGCCACAATCCCAGCCCCAGTTTTTAAAACTTAAACATACATCTGTCATATGACTCAGATCCAAGAGAAATAACAGTTATTCAATAGAAATAAAAACATAAGTCTACAAAAAACCTAGTACACAGATATCCTCAGCAATTCTATTGAAAATGAACCCAAACTAGAAATGATCTGAATGTTCAAGTCAATTAATCAGCAAATTATGAAATGGAATACTGTTGAATAATAAAGGGAATTAATTGTTATTAATACATGCAGTACTGAATCTCAAAATAGCAAGTTTGAGAGAAAAAAGTCAAATAATATATACTATATGATTCCATTTATACAAACTTCTTGAAAATACAAACTATGGTGACAGAAAGCAAATCAGCCATTCTTGGGGAGTGGGTGGAGGGTGGCTTACCAAGGAGCAAAAGGGAACTTTTAGAGGTAAAGTGAATATTCACTATTTAATTGTGGTGATGATTCCATGGGTATATACATATATCCACACATATCAATTAACACACTTCAAATATGTGTAGTTTAATATGCATCAATTGTACCTCGATTGATGGTAAGCTGTTTTAAACATACAGTTTAGATGATAAATGATTACCTAATGGTTAAATTTGTAACACACACAAAGAAAGAAATCTAGAATATTCACTTTGTGTTGTATTCTTGAAGGTAGCTGAAGGATCTGTATTGAAGAGAAGATTAGTTTGGTCAGAGTAACATAGTCAAGTTGGACCTGGGGAGGGGGGGCGATCAGTCTGATAGAAATGTGCAGAACAAATTAGACTGAAAGGAAGGGAGATTAGAAAAGTAGGAATGTCTACAAACTACATGGAACTAACAAAGGTGC